ATTTTCATGGTTTTTTTTTTTATTTTTGTTTTGGTGTTCTGCTTTGGTTTTCTAACCAAATGCTGAGTAAAGTAGTATTAGGTGTTTCAATCTTTCAATCTTGCAGGTTGTGTTATGTGGGTAACAATATTGTCTAATTACAAGACATAGGTCACTGACTGATGTAGAGATCAGGTGAGGGGAACTGCTCTATATTGTGAAGGGGAGAAATTGTGCTTTGCTATCTCCATTTAATTTCTGTTTCCTCCACTCACAGCAATTCAGTGCTGTCCATGTGTTGTCAGCAGTGATCAAGCAGGGATCCTTCCACAGTGAACAGCTCAGACCTGGCTTTTTAAAAAGAGAAGGAATTTTCTTGTTTTTTAAAACATGTCCATTTTAAAAAGTTAAGATAAGTTCTTGTCTATCTGTTGCATCCTCTCTAGGTATAAAAGACTGAGCAGTTTCAGGAAATAAAATCAGATGTGATGGTTCATTTCTCTCATAGAAAGATGAAGAATCATCTTGTCAACAGAGGGAGGTTGTGGTCAGAGCAGGAGGGCAGAATGTCCTCAATGGCATTTCTTTGGCTGATGACCACGGGGTCATTGTGTCTTTAATTAATATTCTGGGCTGGTGCATATAATTTTTGATACCAGAAGTAGAGATCTTGAAACCACCTAGGAGAAACTTAGAGTTGCCAACAAGATCAATCCCTCCAGACTCCAGGAACAGCCTGTCAGGGAATGACTGATCTGGGCAGGTCACTCTGGACTTTACAGTCAGTGGAGGGCTACCTTAAGAAGTTTAGGATGGGATTCCTCATTCTCTCATGGAGAGAGCTGGATTTAGTGAAGTGAATCATAATGAAAGCTCTGCTAGTTTAGGACCTCCTTTACCTACAGGGGTACCTGGACAGCTGGTACTTGGTATGAACAATTGAGATAAATCCCAATATTCCGTGATTAGATTGCTGTGCTTTGTAAGAAATAAGGGTTTACTACAGATGTGGTGCTTTTCTGTGAAAATCTGTGGAATCCAGGTCTTTTGTCTCTCAAAATGAAGACAATATACGCCAAAATACACTTTTGAAGGCACAATTGAAAATTATCAACATCACACTTCTCCATTTTTAACTTATGTGTTGATTTAGAATCTTTCTTGAGTTGTAAGAATTGAGTCAAGCAGTTGGAGGGGAATGTACTGGGTTAGAATAAAATTAGTCTGTCAAGTGTGGATACATAATAGACACCATGGTGCTACCTTGGCCACTGTGTCATTAAAATCCCAGAAATAGTCCTGATGAGTTTTATTCTGTTCTTGTAATCAGACTCTGCAGTGCAGTTGACTGTAGTCTTAAAATACTTGTATGGATTGAATAAGAGGTGCAGAATTACAGGGCTGTGCTCTGATGTTCCCAGATGATTTCACCATCCCTGGACGTGTCACCTGCTGTTCAAATAATGGGAGGAAAATTAACAATTGAGTCATGTTGGTGAAATTAGAGATTTTATTGGAAGGTTTGGGTGGGCACTGAGTGCCCTGCTGAAAGGATTAGGTGGGATTTTTCCCATTTGGTGCTTGCTTTACACCCAGGTGTAAATGTTAGCATGGATTAGAATATTTCAGTTGGAAGGGACCTACAGTGATCATCTAGTCCTGAGCAACTCAGGGCTTGCTGAAGGGCTGCAGCATCCAGGTCATTGATAAATACATTGAGCAGGGCTGGCCCTAGGGCTGATCCCTGGGGTGTCACTGCTGGTGACAGTCCCCAGGCAGCTGGAACCTCTTTGGGCTCTGCCCTTCAGCCAGTTTGTCACCCAGAACTTGCTCACCCCACAGTGGGACAGCTTACCCAGAAGGGTGCTGGGAGTGCCAAAAGCCTTACTAAAATCCAGAAAAACTAAATCCCCTTCATTCCCTGGGCAGTTGACCTTATTATATAGAGATATCAAATTAATTAACTTTGTGTTGATGGTGCCTGGCAGATGTATCCTTCAAAAGACCCTCAGCAGCACCCAGTATAATCCTCTCCATATTTTTTTCCAGGAATTGAGGTCAAAGTAAGGACTAACAGGACTAAGTCTTGTTCTGTTTTTGGCTGGGATAGAGTTAATTTTCCCTAGTAGCTGGTGCAGTGCTGTGTTTTGGATTCAGTGTGAGAATAAATTGATAACACTCTGATGTTTTTGGTTGCTGCTGAGGAGTGATTATTCCAAGTCAAGGACTTTGAATTTCCCAGGCTCTGCTGATGCAGACATGAGTGGGACAATGGCCCTGGACTGGCCAAAGGGATATTCCATCCCATGGGACATCATGGCCTGTATATACACTGGGGGGTGTTACCCAGGAGTCAGGGGGATTTTGGGATGTGCTGGGCATCCAATCAGTGACTGCTGACTTGTGCATCACTTGTTGTCTCTCTTCTTATTATCTCCCTTCTCATTATATTATATATTATTATTATAATGATATTTGACTTAATTTAAATTATTAAACTGCTTTTATCCCACCCCATTTTTTAACTTTTCCCAGTTCTCCCCATCCCCCTGTGCTGGGAGCAAGAGGCTGTGTGGAGCTTAGTTCCTGGCTGGCATTAAACCACAACACTTTTTGGTGTAAATTCTTCTCAAATTCTTTTCTGCACAAGTGGATGTCTCTTGCAGATAGTTTAATTACCATGGATTATTTTAGGTATCATATTGATGACATGGGTGAGCAGAAGGAAAGGGAATGGGGTTGTCATGACTACTGTGATTTTTTTTTTTTTTTTTAATTTTTGCGCTTCGATTTAAAAATATTTTTATCTCTAAATTTTTAGGGATAAGTAATATCCTTTGCTGATTGTAAATTACTGGTCATACTTCAGATTCCAGTAATTCTAGCAGAAGCAGTTTTTCAAGACATTTTTTCCTGGAAATCAGAAAAGGGTGAAGGGAAAAGAGCATTCTCTTGGCAACTTATATAAAAGAAAACTGGGTTAGCTTAATACTCATGTAATAGTTGAGTATAACTTACTGTGATGCTCACAAAAGGGCTTGATTTGTTTCAAATCAAGTGATTTTATATAGAATTTTTACAGAAATTTTTTTAAATGCTGGCAATTTTTGCTTGAGCTAGTAAATGCCTGCAAGCTTGCAGCTACTATTACTAACAATAATTTCATTGTTTTATTTAAATCAATGTAATTATTTTTCCACGAGGAGATCTTGCAGAGCTCATGCCTTAGTTGTGGTCAGGAATGAGTTTCACTTGTGGAACTGCTTTAGGCCTTTAATTATTTTATAGCAAAGGGAAAACTGATGCAATTTTAAGGTATTTTCAGTCATTCAAAGGGTAAATGAACTTCTTCATGACTAATTAAGTAAATATTTCTCTAATGCACAAGAGTGGGTGTCTTTTCTCTTCTGGGTGTGTTCATTCTTGACCTTTGCATTACTTGGACCATGAACATGGTAATTCAGGGACAGAATTTCAGTGTTTCCAGCATTGATCATGCAGGGATCCTTCCACAGTGAACAGCTCAGGCCTGGCGTTTAAAAAAGAGAAGGAATATTCTTGCATTTTTAAAAATATACCCTTTAAAAAAACAACAAATAAACCCAAAAAAACCCCAAACCTTGCTTAGATTATCCCTAAACATACATATTGATGTGATTATTACCTACACAGTTCCCTCCTGAATTTGAGTGATGCCTCTGGCCTCCTTTATGTGCTTACTCAGCGACAGCAGTGTCTCTGCTCTGATTCCCAAGCTGCTTTTAGCTCGGGTTGGTGATATAACCAGATCAGTCCAAGCTGAAAATGGGTTCATTTGTCCTGTTTCTCAGCCCTTGCTGAATTTGCTGGTACATGAGTAGGCTGCCACTTGTCCCCCTGGCTTGCTCAGTCTCATTCTTGAACAGTCTGGCTGTCAGTGTTGGAATTAAATGCAGAAAAAAATGATTTCTCAGTCATGCTTTGGTTGCTGGTATCTCTTAACTGGGTGGTTTTGTGCATGTACTGCAGGCTGATAATTTCAGGTATTAATTTTCTGAAAGACTGAAATGCTTTTTTTTTTTTTTGGGAGGTAATTAGAAACAACATTGAATTTTTTTGGTTTTTTTGTGAAACCTAGTTAATATTATTGACTGATATAAATTATAGGATGAGGAATCTCCAGCAGTGGATTTTTATGCTGACTGTGACAAGCAGCTCACTCAGCTGAGGAGCTTGTCTTAAATCCCACACCTGAGCTACTTAAAGGAGCAGATCTAAGCTGAGGCTGTGAATTTGCAGGAAGTGTAAAAGGACTTTAAAGCCTTGTGTTGTTGAAGATATTTCAGTGCAGTGTCTTCCTTTACAGTTGGTTTTTAAGGTGTGTAAAGCCAGAAGCATCAGGTGTGAGAAGTGATGGGTTTGGCTCTCCCAGCTCTGCATTCCCATCCTGTGTATCCATGGCTGTTCCTGACCACTCTTCCCCAATCCACAAATACTGGATTTAAAAGTACAGTTTGCCCATGGTGGTGACAAATTCCTTTTTCCTGGTCACACTGAAAGCAGGAGAGAAATGGAAAAAAATCCTGATTTTTTTTTTTTTTCTCCCCCCTGCTTGTTTTATTTCTACTTCTCTGACAGGTGTTGCTATGTATGTCAAGGATCTTGTAGTTAAACGAGCACAGTCTTTATTTCAAAGTGAAAATAGGATTTTGGCAGAAGTTGGAAAATGCTCCTACTTGCCCTGGGCAGAGTGTTTCTTTCCAGGGGGGGTGTGTGTGTGACAGAGGCTGGAAAAGAGAGGGATAAATGTGTGTGGGCACTGGCAAGAGGCCACACTGCTCAGGCCATGCTCTGTATCATCCCTCCCTTCTCCCATTGCCTTGCAGAGTGTACAGGCTCAGCTATATAAAATAATACATTTATTTCAAAATTGTGTTAAATGAGCTCATCTCAGTCACTCAGCAGTTATGAAATCCTGCCAAGTGCTACACGTCTTGTAAATTTAGAGGGTTGTTGTTTTTTTTTTTTTTTAATTTGCAAAGGATGAAATACTACACAAGTTACTGAGGCAGAGAGAAGGCATCTTCCTTCACCCATAACATACTGAGGCACGAAGAGTGATGCTGAGAGCCAAGGTTTCTGATCTGACCCTCCTCCTCAGAGCTCCTGAACGTGAAGATTCTCAGCTCAACAGAGGCTGCCTGCTTGTGGCAGGCAAAATTATCATTTGCACTCACAGCTGAGGGTTTTGATGGGGTTGGTGACCAGCTCTAGCACAGCACAGCTCCTTTTCCTTCTCCTTTTCCTTCTCCTTCATCACCAGCTTGGAACCAGGAATGGGTGAGACTTCTGCTGCTTCCCTCCTAACGAGGTACGAATTCCAGATCAAATGTTAAGAGCTGCTTGTTTCTACGTGAAGAAATCAGATTCAACCCCTGGATTTGTTCCAGGCAGGGATAGCATTACATGTGACTCTTGTCTTTGAAACTGTTAAAGCCTGCTGATCTGACACAGCTAGGGATGGAATTAAAATATATCAGCGTTTCAGAGATGGGAGGCAGAAGGAACTGTTGGGTAATTTAGTCTGACATTTAGGGTGTTGCAGGTCATTACATGTAACTGTTACTCTCTGTTTCGAGCTCAGTAGCTTATGTTTGACTGAAAAATTGAAAATTAACAGGCATCTGCTGAAAATGCTTTTCAGAAGGGCGGGCTGGCTTATTTGGGAGTTACTTAGAAATGAGGATTTCAGTATCTCTCTTAGTAATTTGTTCTATGGGACAAACAGTCTGTGCTTGCTTCTTTCTCTTTTTTTTTTTTTTTCCCTTTTTTTTTTGTGTTTTGCTGCATTTCTGACTTGGATATGCCTGATTCTCTGTAGTTCCATGGGGATTTTAAGCTGGCATAAACCAGCAGAATTGCTGAAAGAAGCAGTTAGCATCCCCCAGTCCCTGCTGGATACCAGCTGGACCCTGGTCCTGGCTTGGTGCTCCTATAACCATGGGTGAACCCACTGCAGAACCAGCCAGAAAAGCAGCAAAATCAGATTTCTCCAAGGTCAGTTCCATGATCTAGTTCATGGCACAGCTGCATGAAGGGGAATGAACAGTCAGGGATGAGAAATGGGTGAAGGTGGCTTCAGCAGCAGGTGGTGAAGCCACAGAGTTACTTTCAGCTGTTGGTTCTTGGCCCTTTCCTGATGGGAATAGTGGTGGTTTGTGTTGCCCTGCAGCCAGCAGTGTCTCTGGGTGAATTTTTCTGGTGTTAAACACCAAAACTTCACAACCAGGTGTGTGTCAGAATGCTGGAATGAAAAAAAAAATTACAGTTACTTGATGTAGCAAAAGCTGTTCAAGTGTTATCTAGGTATTAACATTTACCTTGCTGTTGAGTTTTTAGTATCTGTGTTGTAGTAATTGGTAGATATACACAAGGGAAAAGGGCTTTGGATTTACTGGAGGGTTTATATGAGGCAAATTAGTCTGAGTGTTGGCAGGTAGAATGTGGAAATTCTCAGTATGTGATGACTGCTTTTAGTAAAGATTTTTTCAAAAAATAAACTTGCTTTAAAGACACAAATTGGTGTTTATCTTAAGACCAGATGTTGAACAGTATTTAGTGCTAAACCAGGTGACCTTCACAATAAATAATTTTGTTCTCTCAATGGAATGATTATTTCTCTTAGGGAGAGCATTTGGTAAGAAATCTCTGTGCCAGCTCTCATGCTTTTAATACTTTATTGTGGTTTGTAATAAGAGGAGAGCATCTTTAGGCTGTATAAATCTGAGATTTGCATCATACTAACATGGTATTAGTTTATTGTGCTTCTTCTGTAGTCTGAGGAGGAGGAGGTTTTCTGAGATAGAGGAAGAAAGAGCTGAGACTGTAAAGACCAAGATCCAAGGACAGCTCAACCCCACAAGAGAGGATTGTGCAGTCTGGGCAAGGGAATGTCTATCACCACAAAACACTGTGGAGTTACAAACTAGAAATTCAGAATATACCCATCTCCTGGAGCATCACATACTGATGTTTTCTGTATAGATGGAAATAGATTTTTTTCCAGATACTGCTGAAAGTGTTGACTGATCTTTTTTTTTAGTACTGTCAAAATAATTTTTGTTGTTTTCATTTCAGTTTACCAGGAACTCTTACTGTAGTGAAAGTTGTTACATAACATTGGCCTGTATTTTCTTGCCAAAAGACTCCAGTATTGTTTAAGCAGAGGTGCTGAGTGGTTGATTCCATGTTTCTCCTGGTAGCACAGAGCAAAACTTCCTTGTATTTAAGACTGAAAAGTATTCCGTTTTCTTCTGAGATGGATTTGGTTTTGGATAATTGGTGAATTCTTTCAGCAAGAGTTCACCTTCACAAGTTTCAGCTGGTGCAGGTCTCATTTTACCCATGGGAGCTGCAGAACTCAGCTGTGCAGCCTTGTTTGCAGAGGAATCTTCTTTCCTCTTCCATTTTTATTCAGGAGCTCCTGACAGCCCAGGTCATCAGAGCTGTTGCCACCACTTGTGTGGGAACCCCTTTTTCCTGAGATCTGACCCAGTTTTATTCAACTCAAAACCATCTTTTTAAGTGACCATCTGATTTTGGACTGCCTTAATTGAAACTTCTCAAAGTTGCCTGGCCACACTTGTGCCAAGGATGTTCTGCTGCTGTACCATGACAGTATTGGGTTCATGGCTGGACTTGCAGGTCTTTTTCCAACCTAAATAATTCTGTGTTTCCCTTCTTCAGGTGTCCTCCTGCTACTGACTGAGCCTCCAAACTTTGATACCTTTCCTGCCTGTTTTACTTCCCTCTATACTTAATTTCTGGTTGGCATCTGATCCTGAGTAGTCTTGTCCCAGGCAGTGCCTTGTGACCTGTATTTTGTAAAATCTTCTGGTTGAATCTGTGGGAAAGCTTGCTTGGCTGAAATTTTTCTGGCAACCTGCAGTTTTTATAGGGGAAATTACCATATTTCTCATTTAAAATTCTTACTTTAGGTTTTTATTGAAGACAGCAAAGAGTGCCTTTTATGTTTTTGTTTTTGGTTGGTTTTTTTTGTTGTTGTTGTTGTTATTGTTTCTTTTTAAAAAAATAATTGTTTCAGTATTCATTGTGCAGATGTGTATTACCATAGTAAAGCTGTGAAGTAGCCAAGCTGTACTGATCTTCCCTGGAGGTGGAATAGTTTAAAAAGAAGGTTTTGTGGTCTGCTTTAGTTGTTTATACTTCAAAATAATTTAAGAGAAAGGTGCCTTTTTATTTACCAAGCATTTGCAAGTAAACCTTAAAAACCTATCAGAGCAAATAGTAAATAATTTTCTTTACAACACAGGGCCTCTTTTTTCTGAAGAGATGGGATTCTTCCCAGCCTTCAAAGTTTTCAGAAGATTGCTCCTATTTTCTCCTTATTATGTGTCAAATTGTAAAACATAAAAAATTGTTGACAAGCTTTTTTAAAAAAAGATATCCAAGATTGACACCTTTTGCTAAAATACCATTTAACTTCTTTTCAGGTAGAAAATAATGGCTGTTAGAAGAGAAGATCAGTAAACAATGCTGAAATAAAAGTTGTTTGGGGTTTTTTTGGTTTTGGTTTTTTCTTTTTTTAATTTTTTGTTTTGTTTTGGTTTTTTTTTTTTAAGAAAGAATCTTAAATTATTAATTGTTTCTGAGACCTTAATGCAGTGGCTTTGGAGTTTTCCAAAAGGGGCAGTGGGACTTACTCTCAATGCAGTTTCAATCTGCTGTTGTATCTATAACTTATTACTGTATATATTATATATATATATTATTATATATAATATAATAATATATATATTATATAGTATTTGAAACATTGAATAAAAATGAAGTTTTGTACTTGGTTCAAGCTGTCTGGGTGCCCTTTGGGGATGTAAAAGTACAGTTATCAAGGAAACATCAATTTTCTCGTTGGCTAAAAAAGGTGATTGTGGTTGTGTATCACTTCTATGCATCAATTCTGAAGAATTAAAAAAAAAAAACAAACTACAACTAGAGAAACCAAAAGCTTAAACTAATGGTCATCTGTCTCTTCATTGAGCTGTGACTGAAACCAAGAACAGGGCAAAGAGCTTTGCCCTAAGAAGTCGTGGCTAAAATGTACCAGACATGAACCAAACAGGAAATTCTGCAGAGAAAAAGGGGAAATAAGAACTTGGATCTTGTTAATGAAAGTTTTGGCAAGCTGACCTTTTGGGCCTTTTTGAAAACCCCAGTGTGGGATGCATCACGACTGGTGTTGGAGTTTCTTGGGTCTTCTCTGACCACAGTGGGGGGAAAAGTTCCTTTTTGTGCTGTGTTTGCCATCAGGTGCAAGTCTCTGGCAGGAGGAGATGGAGCATTCCCTGCAAGTGTCTGAGGGTATTTTTGGGAAGCAGCTTTTTGGAGGATGGGATGGAGACTGGTCAGAAAGGAGCCTTTGACAGGAGTGGAGACTGAGGAGGGCAAAACCAGCAGTCTCTGGAAATGTTCAAGCAGGGAAAGAAAGACTTATTTCAGGGATGCATAGGGATTTGTGAAATTAGGTTTTAATGGATTGAGAAGAAGTTTGAAGAAAAAAAAAAGGAAAAAAGAAACCACAATGGACCAGGGGAGTTGCTTAAAAGTCTTTTATTCATCTTGCTTTTAATTTTACTATTCACAAGTCCCATGTTTTATGTATTTTACTAATAACTTGGAGCTCTGGAGTTTACAGTGCTTTTAGTGTTTAATGATGCTCATTCTGAAGGAAGGAGCAGAGCTCTTCCATCACTCTCTGTGACTCAGAGTCCCAGAGCAGGGGTGGGAGAGGCAAAATGTGAACCTTGAGGCAGCCCTGGGCCAGGAGGCTGGAAATAAACCAAAAAAAAGTGTCCTCTCAAGGCTGAGACAGAAGGTTTTATTTGTGTTTTGAAGAGTCAGTAGCATTCTTGCACACAGGTTTGGAAAAGAACTGCAGAGTGAGACCTCCCTCTGTTCCAAGGGTTGGTCAGGAACTCAGCTGGTGGAGCTCCATGTTGATCCAGGTGTGAGATGGATGAATGTTACAGAAAACAAAAGAAAACCAAATCTTTCATGGAGTCCATCCCATGGCTCCCATGCATAACCTTTATATGAAAAGAGAGGAAGTCTAAGAGCCCAAGAATCCAGACAGATCACCAGACAGGCAGAGATTAAATTGGGATTAAGAAGTTTGAGCAGGAGGAACATGGCAGAGAGAAACCAATGCACAGGTGGGGTCACTCACAGAAACAGAATGTCTGAAGAGTATGTGTTAAAATGAGCATATTTAACATAAATACATTGTCTAGAAGTTTCCAAAATACATAGGAAAAAAAGGGAAAAAAGCTAGCAAGAACTCTCTTACAGTCTTTAAAGTTATTTACTTAGTCTGAGATGACAGGATGGGGGGAAGAGATGCAGTGGTTTCATCACCTCCTATAGGTGAAGACTTCAGAAATCAGCTTGTTGAGGCATTCCTGTAGAAAAGTACAGGATTTAAATCAAGTTAGAAGAAGACTTGCAGCACAGCTTTTGACTTAATCTCAGGATGATATTGCTCTGAGAATAAGGCAGATGAGAATGACAGGCACTGGTGCCTGCTGAGAACTGGATGCCCTGGTTTTCAGAGCATCTCAGTGGGTTGGAAGGACTAACATGGGAAATTGGTCAAGCAGCAGATAAAGTTCACCTGTGTGCCCTGTGAGAAAAAACCAAAATGGGATCATGAGTGCAGAGTGAGGATGTGCTTGAGAGTACTGTTGAGATGCCTGAGGCAGGGATTAAAAAATCCACTTTTCTTCAGAGGAAAGAACCATCTGTGATAAAAGGGTCATTTTGAGGCTTTGGAGACTTGGTTTGCCAGAGACTCTTGAGGGAACTGGGGCAGAGGAGAGGTTTTCTCCTGCATTAGCAGGACATGCAGGAGGTGATAGCTGTCACTAGGAAGAGGAGAACAGCGAAAATGCTCTGGATTTTCCACAGTGTTTTAGAATGCCACTTCTGCAGGGAAAAATCCCCAAAAGATGCTTAAACCAAATCTGATGGGCTGAAAAGGAGGAATATTTCCCTCCCAAAGTATGGAGGTGGATGGCTGGATGGCAAGTGTGCCCTGGGCTAGTGGGATGAGGGAACTGGGGAAACTCGTGTTCATCCTAAATTGAATCCAGACAGGATTAAACAGGTCCCACTTCTGGAACTGCTGGGAACAAGGGAAAGAAAGTGCCTGGGTTTGTCACAAACTTTGTTCATAAATGGGAAAATGAGGTGACTGGAAGAGGTGTGGAGAGGGAAGCAAGAAAGGAAAAACTCAGGAACCCGCCAGGATTTGCATTGTCCTTGGTGGGATTCAGTGACACAGAGAAAAAAAATGGTTTTGGATTCTAATTTTTAATCAAGCAAGTGACTGAAAAAGGCAAGAAAGAAGGAAGGACCTGCCCTGGAAGGGCAAAATGAGCACTGAGGAGATGGCTCAGAAACAGTTTCATTTCTCTTACTTCACTGTAGGTTTTTTTTTTTTTTTCTGTGCAATAAATGCATATTTTATCTAGTTGATTCTAATAAAACTCAGCTCTGGAATTAACAAACATGCTCTTGTGTCTTTTGGGTGTCTCATCATGAATGGGTGGAAGCAAATCCACCTCTTACTCTTGAGGTGCTGCCAGGCAATTTGTGATAGCACAAATCCAAGCACTTATATATGAGTGAGGTCTCCAGAAATCACTGACTTGGATATACTAATCATATCAGTAAAGAGAGGTGCAGGAATGACCATTTCCATCATGGACAGTTCTAATGAAAATGATTTTTTTAAGTCTTATGTTCCCCTATTTTTTGTTTAAAAAATAAAAATGGGGAAGCAAAAAAGATTTTTGAAAATTTGAAATTTACCGTTTTGACCAGTAGCAGAAATTGTAAGAAGGTTTCGCTTTGGTTTGGTTTTTGGTGGTTTTATTTATATATTTATGTGCAAATTAGCAGCTTCTGAAATGATGAGAAATCAGAGAAAGAAAAGGAAAATCTTTTGTACTTTTAGACCAGCAACCATCCAGAGCTGGATGCTTTGCTGGGCTTCTAGATGTGTTTTAATAAAGAGAATTTTCCCAGTTTTTCAGGCCGAGTGAAGTTGGGAGCAATTTGCTGTATGATACGGAATACAGTGAATCAGCATTTGCAATGGCAGCTATTTATAGTCCCTCTATTTTTATTCAAAGCAAAACAATAGCACTGAATTTCAGGCAGTTGGACCAGACACTCAGGAAGGTCTCTTTGGAAGCTGAGGGGGGGAAAATAATCTCATCTTGCTGGATCTTGAGGGCTGAGCTCCGCCGGCATCTCCATTTCAGTGCCGTCCTCCAAAGGTGAAATCCGGGGAGCTGTGCTGGGGAGCTGCAGGAGCAGATGCCTCTAAAATGTGGTTTTTATCCACTCTTCAGGGGCTATCAGCATTCCTTGCATTTTCTGCTCGAAGGACTGAGCCATGTAATTAATGCCTGTTAATTTTAACCATCTCTTCCAGGTTTTCTGTGACTCTTCCACGTCCTCCTGCTGCTGCTGCATCCAACGTGGATCCGAATGCTGTGGCTACAAAGGCTTGTCACTGTCTCATGCTGGGTCCCTCACATCCAAGAGCTACTTGGCAGTTTCCAAGGCAACCACCTGTGGAATAATTAAAAAGGATGAAATGTTAGCGTGCCAGATCTAAGGAATTCTTGCCTGGAGAGAGCGTTTCACTTTCTTCACGTCTTGAAGAATCAAAACGTGCTTCTGCCAGCAAAGTTAAGGTAGTACAATTAAAAAGTAATGGTTTATTTTTCTGGAAGTTTTGAGGTGGAGCAACAAGCCTGATATGGCTGTATGTTGTACAGAAATGACCATGATTCCTTCTGGGTTAATATTTTGGGTAGGTTTAAATGGAAAATGCACAAGAAAGGTGGTGATGGGAAGGCAGTAATCAGCATTTTCTATTAGTAAAACAGTTGCATGGAGTGTTTTGCACTTCATGCCGTCTTCCCTCGGATGATTTTAAGCTGGGAAGGACTAAAATGGAGCATACATTAGTTGGAGCATAAATATAGGAAGTGCAGCCTTCATGCCAAGTACACTGAGATTTCTTTGGCATTCAGTGCAGTGATGGATATAAAAGGAATCTAGGAGTGGGCTCACTGCAAAATGACAGTCGGAATCAAGGCTTGATCTTTATCCCAGAGCTTAAAGGGTGGGCACTGCCTAAGTCCATGCTGAACCAAACTGATAATCAGGTTTAGCTGCTTCAGTGAAGCAGCAGCTCAAACCATTTTGAAGTCACATATTCCCAGATTCAGAGCTGAAATTGCACGGTGGGGAAAAAAAAAACAAATATTAAGCAAAAGAAGCCTGTCAGAATAACAAAACATGGCAAAATTGTTTCTGAAAGTTTGAAACGTTGCTTCAGAAATTGATGGCAGAGGTGTTAGACTTCAGATAACTGGAAAAGTTCTTCTCCAAGTATTATATGTTACTGGATGTATTTGCTTGTTATATCTTCCTTCTCTGCCAGTCATTCAAATATAGTTGAATAGAAAAATATTATTCATTTCTGACAATGGAGTTAAATGGAGAAAAACCACATTCCCATTCTTCCCATAGTCCAAATAACTGCTCAGTTAAGTCTGGTTACCTTGCCTGATGCTCTTGTACAGTTAATTTTAGGCGTGATGCTTTTGTGTAATTTATTTTAAGGGGGAAAAAAAAGAGTCCTAAATTTTGAAGTAGAAATATTTGGGATGCCATCTGGGCTTTACATAATAAATTTTTCCTGCCAAAATGTTTGTGGGATTCTGTTGGGATGTGAATGGGATTTCACATTCCATCCCTTTCCACAGCACAAGAAGATCATTGTTTTTTAGATATGGTGGGTCCAAGAAGAAATAGGAATTGTGTGGTAGCAGCTCTGTGATCTGAGGGAATACAAATAGAATATATCCAGTAAGGACCCTCTCACCTTGTTTAGATGATACCTAATTTCAACAGCAAATATTTGCAGGTACCAACTGAGTACAGCTGCAGTTTTCCACCCTGATGCTTGATTTCCTGTCCATTGGTTGATTGTCACCACATCTTGAATGCCAGAATGGTTTTCTTTCTGCAGTAATTCTTCAGCCTGTTAATTCCTTTCAGTGTGGAGCTGAGGAAAGTGGGTTTTTTTTCAGGCAAATGCTGTTGTCACATGTGGAGGGACTGTGCTGGCAAAGAGTCTGCAGCAAGCACAGTGAGGAGGATGCAGAATTGAGACACTCTGTAGGTAGAATGAAGGTAGTTGGTGTTTGTGGATCCAGATCCTTGATCTTTGCAAGCAGCATCAGTAACTCTCAGAGGTGGAGTTGGGTACTTGTGAAGGAGCACCTGAGTGTATTTGTGGAAGCCTGATACAGTAGCAATCAGGCACAATAATGCAGGATTCCCAGGAGTGTACCCAGAGGAGTTTCAGCTTAGATGCTTCTACAAAACATCCCAAACTCATACAAATATCTCCATTTTTCTGTTTTACCTCAAATGCTGTGGGTGAGGTTTTTCTCATGGAGCTTCAATGTCCAGGTGCTGCTGAAGCCATTGGGAGCAGCTTCCTGACAGTTCCTATTCCAGACCCCCTTGAAGGGGATGACCTGTCTCTAAAAAGGTGCCTGTAGAAATTAATCCATCTTTTCCATGGGTAGTTCTGCCTGGATTTAGATGATTTAGCCCAGGTGGCAACCCTTCCAGGAGCTTCAAGTGTGCAGTTAGATATATTTGTATATAAAATTAAGATTTTATATATTAATTATAAATGAATATATAATTAAACTAATATATAATTAATTATAAAATTAATTAATCCATGCTTGTTTCTTTATATTCCATTCCTATTCCAGACTTTCCAGGTCTGAGTGGAGTTGCACTTGATCACTGGTACAACCCCCTTAATCATCCTCCTCTTCCCAACTCCGATATTCGACCCTGACAGTTTTCCCAGCCTTCATCTGCAAGCCTGTGGTTCAGTGTCAGGGGTAGTGAAGAGCCCCACAGAGTTTGTTATAACATAGTTTGTAAGAGAAATAAAAACAGCCATGCTAAATTTAGGCAGCTGTGCTGTGTGAAAGAAAATACAGTAACAGGCAGAATTGATTTCTGATGTTTTTTATGTAGGTTACGTTCTAACAATCTTTATCCCTGGGAAGTTTTACAAGACTGAAGGGAGGGAGTAGGTGGTTAGAGGCAGTGATTTGTTCAATAATTTTATTTCTTAAAGTGATTCAGTGCCTGTTGACACAGAAGTTGTTTCTTTAGCCTTGGTTATTAAGAATTGGTGCTATATGCACCCAGAAAAGTAAAATTTTATTTTGAATTCTCTTTTCTGTGGCAGAAGAGTTGTTTTGCTCCATGCTGGAGTAACTTGGTGTCTTTTTCAGAAGAAAAAAAAAGGGAAATAGTGATATAGTAACTCTTTCAAAGATTATTTTGATACAGTGGTTAATATTTTCCTATTTTTATACCATCAGGTCAACTGCATCAAGAGTCAGTTACAGTGTGATAGTCTGAAAGTGTCATTAAAATACCCATTAATTTTGTTAAGTGAATTAGGACTGTTTCCTGGAATAGGTAGGACTTTTCATCTTGTTGCTTGGAAATCCAGGTGATTTTTTGAAAGGGAGTTTCTCCTTCTAACAAGAAGGGGATATTCTAACAATGTAGGGGAAATTCAGGGAAAGAGCAATAAGCTCAAGCCACCTTTGTGGAAAAGGGAACTCTAGTAATGCATGGACCCTTTTACTTAGGCTTGATTTTCCTTTGAGAATGAGGGAACTGTTTTGCTGCACTTTGGTGGGTGGATGTTTTATGGGGAGCAAAGCTGCATTGCAGCTTTGATGCAAACAGAATTATCTACAGGGTGACAGACTTTATGTTACACACCTGATCCCTTTTCCCCCTCCAGCTGCTCCTGCTGGGCATTTTGGATATGCTTTTCCAGCATAGTGCAGAGGATTTTCCCTGATAGACAACACAGAAAGTCTAGAATAGAATAAAAAAGAATAAAAAAGTCTGACAACATGCAGAGAGGTACTGAAGGTAGGAGGAGAAGCAACTCTTGTCATTTACTGACCTAGAGCAGTGATTTGTCTCCAGCAGTGGCCACAGGTGGGTTGTGGAGGAGCAGAGCAACAGAATGGGAGCAAGATCCTCCTTCTGCACACCCTTCACTCTCCAGACATCTGTAGGACAGGGATGGACTGGGCTGGATGTTTTTTGGGTTGTTTTTTTTTTTGCAGTGTTTATTGGATTTGTCTTTTGGACTTCATTAGTGAGAAGTAGTGGGGAGTGTAAAGCTCTGTGGTTCTCCAGTTTAACTAACACATCAGCCTGTTCAGTGAGGAGCCATCTTCTTTTGTTAACTTTTGAGCCTGAACTCCATTTAAAATCCACTTCTTGCACTGGAAAAGGCTTAAGTAATTCATACATAACTATTTCCATTACAACCATCATTTTCTAGAGCTCTGCCTGCTGCAAGTGTTGAGTCAGTTCAAAGCCTGCTGACCTATATACATGAAATAGGGCCACTTGCCCCACCTCCACTCATCCTACTTCACACTTAATTTCATTGAGAGTCCTCATTAATTTCACTCCTGAATTTCATTTCAAGATTTTAATGTCCTGTGAGTTATCTGCACGCATTTCTTTTTTTTTGTTTTTCCTACTTATTTACTGCCTTTGCTACTGTGAATAACTTTACTATCATCAGCAGATGTTGTCATCTCACTGTTGAGCCCTTTTCATGTCATTTATGAATTCATTGAACAGTGCTGGGAACAGATCCCAGCTCAGATCCCTGTGGAAAGAAGAGCTGAAATGGCACCAAGTCCTGCCAAAAGCAGGGTGGGTTTGCCCACTTCTGCACGTGGCACAGCTGAATTTGTGGTAAAATCCCTGTCCTGTTTTGGTACACTTGTAGATGTGGAGTCACTGTGAAATACTTTGTAGGAATATATAATAATATTTAGGTTCAATGTCATTCTTCATCACAGAATTGTTAAGGTAGGAAAAGACCTCTAAGATCCCCAAGTTCTGCCCTCAAGCACCACCATATACACCACAAAACCATCTCCTCAAGTGCCATATCTATCCATGCATTTTTTGACTCCACCACTTCACTGGTCAGAGTGTTCCAGTGCTGCCTATTTGTTATTTCACCTTTGAAATACAGGGTGGGCAAGGGATTTAACTTTTTGGATGACTGAGGATGATGTTTAGTGTTTAAAAGGTTGACTCCTGCTTTGTTCACAGCATTTTTCATCTTCTGAGTTTTTAGTCTCAAAACCAACTTGGTTATTATTTTGTAACACCTTTGTATGTGATTTAAAATTGTGATGTATGTGATTGAACCTGCTGGTTGGTCACTCTCTGCATTGCCAGAAAATATTGAATAAGGGAAATTAGGTAACAATCAGAATCAATCTCCACAGTCATAAATACACACTTGTTTCAGATATTAGGTGTAGGAAATTGCCTGAGCAGTAAAACTGCTACTTGCTCTTGTTTTTCAACATGAACGTAGCAAACATCTTTAATGTTAGTAAAACTGGGCCAGTTTTAAAGGATCTGTAGAATGAAATAACTTTACCAATGGCGTCCTGCAGCTGCAGCTTAGGGAAGTGAGAGTTGAGGACATGAAGAGTGCAGTGTCCCAATGTCCCACTGCTCCTTCCTCTTACCACCTCTGTTCATTCCTGATTACTTCTGAAATTCTGTTTGCTTTTTGTCAACCATTCTG